ACACACACACACACACACACACACACAGCCCTACTTGTTTTTCCTACACCGTGTCAGCAGTGGATTTCAGACATTTCAGCATTTTCAGGTCGATTCTTCAGCACTCAGCATCCACATGCATTTTCTTCAGGAACTGCACCATGTCCAAACTGCACCTACAGTATCAGCCTGAACTTATTTCAAAGATAGTTCAGTCTATAATGAAATTGTCATTTTTCACTCTTAGTTATGTTATTTGCAATGGAGATGAATATGCAAATAAATGTTCTCTTCCCATGCTGATTTATTTATTCCTGTACTTTAAAAGTGCAATATTTGTTGTGCTATCTCCAAGAATTTCCTGAGTAGTCCTCAGTTTAGGGAGCGAGTACTGTCGCATCAGAAAATGGAGCAGCTATGTAACTGATAATAAAGTAAGCTGTTTGAAAAATGTAGGTTTGATGTTTTTGCTAAAGTCATCAAAATAAGATATTTCTTAATATTAACTTGGTTTAAAGTAGGATTTTGTTTTTCATGGTGGCTTCCATAGTACAAGTACAGAGCCATTATACCCCTGAGTGAAGTGCATATTACTAAAGTCCGGTTCAGAGTAGCCAGGAAGCTCTGCATTTACTCTTCTGAGACCAGTGGGGGATCAGTCATACACACTGGGATATGCAGACACACACAGGCTGTCCAGTATTCACACAGCACAAAGCAGGTATTTACACTATCGCACTGGACACTTTAACACATGGCAGGGAGGGTGACAAACATGGAAATAAAATGAGGAGGTTTAGTGATTCATTTTATGTGCAGACATTTGTGGCTAAACTCAAACTGTGGTGAAAGGACCACATCCTCACCAGAAATTAGTTGTTTGGTCAAACACTTCTAATCAGGTTCCGGTTTTTGAAACCTTTTCATGTGTCCATTACAGGTGCATCTCAATAAATTAGAATGTTGTAGAAAAGTCCATTTACTTCAGTAATTCAACTCAAATAGTGAAACTCGTGTATTATATAAATTCAGTACACACAGACTGAAGTAGTTTAAGCTGTTGGGTCTTTTAATTGTGATGATTTTGG